AAATAAATCATTTGCGACTTCGTTTACAAAATATTTGTATTATTTTTTAAATGTTAATTACAAATGTTTCTTTACTACTTAACAATCTGTTAAAGTTTACTTATTTGAATACAATAAGCTATAACGAATGATGTGTACTTAGTGACATATTGTTCTATTCAAACGATTTTCCCATTCTCTTTATTGAAGTTAGAACTGATGTTTCAGTTAAATGATCCTAAAAAGACAGTTTAAAGAATATTTTAAAAAGCAATCAGTCATGTAATAACCATTTGTTTGTTTTTTTCAAAAAGTATGGTTTTTTAAATATGTAGAACTTATTTAAGAAAAATAGAGTTTTGTGAAGTTGATCCCTTTTTACATACTTTAACAAAGCAGAAGTTCATCATGATATCGATTTATCGATCGCTTGTTCATTGACCATTTACGTCAATACAATGCTAACTTATTAGATATGAACAAATGAGACGTCTTGACCTTTGGTCTTGAAGAAATAATCCACAATCTTTTGAGTGTTAACTTATCTAAACTAGATGGTAGAATTGTAAAAATCGTATTGTGTAACTTGAAACCATCGTGTTGTCTGGCATAAATCATTGATGTAGCTCATGGAACATTGTTTCATCGAAACTAACTACATGAAATATGAATCCCTCCTTGATTATTTCAGCCTTACTCATCATCAATGCTGAAACTTTTTGTCTATATTTTCACTTATTTTTCTCTGGTCCATATTTTGGGCATTTTCGATTGCCTTTTTAATAGTTAAGCTAAAATAAAATAAAAACAAAGAATATATTCACTTTGTAGAATACTTCCCTTTCCGTCATGAAATATATATAGACTAAATATAAAGTCATATCCCATCAACTCTGTTTTGTAAGGATCTTCAAAACCCACATTCTGAGTTTCAGGTAAAGCTTTGACATACTTTCAAGAGATCAATAAAATCAGTCCGATATTGTACAAGAGATTGATTACCGTTATTTACCACCCAACATTCTCGAAATAGAATAACGAGAAAGAAAAAATGTATAGAACTCGAGTTTTTTTTTAAATACGGTTTCATTGATTACTTGGAAAGTAAAATCCATTTTAATTCTTGACGACCGACAAGAAAAATGTAAATACTCGATCTGGTAATGAGACCCTGAAAATCATTACACATGTACTTCCTTGCTGGTTATATACATTAAAACTGTGATTTAATTGACTACCAATCTTTATTGATATTTATGTTGTTTATTTAGTGATCCACTCCAATGAATCTTCTAATTTAATCCAAGTACATTTAGCTTATACTAACAATGTTTAAGCTCTAGTTTTCTTAAAATGAACAACCTAACAATCTATCCATTTTCTTTATTTGTAGCTGCAAAACTGAAACATAAAAAAACTGTTATTTGTACCACCCAAAGAAGAAGACAAGATAGATAAAGCTTTCGTTCATCTCTCCGAAATCACAAAGACAACTTTAGCTAAAGACACTCATCTATGTACAGATTTTACTGGCATTTGATCATTCTTCAAGTAATGTAAACCGCTGATATAGTTGGAATGCAAGTAGATGTTACATTGAATTATTATAAAACAATAGTTATATTCAATAACTATCACGCTGTATTAATCAATACATAAAATTTTGCTAATGTTATTTTACAGTTATCTCTGTACATCCTTTTTAACTAAGTGATATTCAGTAACTACTAAATTCTTCACTTTTAACATTTAAACACATTTGTTGTCACTGTGATGATCTGAATTTAATATTTATTACACATGAAGTTGTATGTTTTTTAATCTTACATATATTACATAGAAGGTTGTATCAGGAACCTTTATACATTAAAATTTTGAAGTCAGTAATTTCAAAACGACACGTAAAATCTTACATGAAATAGACTAATAAATCAGAATATAGTCACTACCGTTATGTCTGTCAGTTTTGAGTGTCATTTATATTCAAACTATTTATTTATTTGAACACATAAATATTGGTACAAAGAGGCATCGAATACATATGTGCTATACAATTCACTCGATTTGTGTGTCGGCCATGATACTGCCCGAGTGCGCGAACCCAAGCAGGCGGTTTTCTTAGAAGGCAATATCCGGAGTCTTCGACCTAGAGTTCTGATCCACGATGAAGTGGAGCAACGTCAGGAGATGCAGTCCCATGGTAACTGGTGACCAACGATTGGTTCATACGCCATTCGTCCCTTCAGGATGTCAGAGCCCATGTGCGCCATTGGATTGAAATCAAGATTTTCCAACCCCCTTAGGTGGACCTTCCTTGTCTGTCGACTCAGTTAAAGTTCAGACATTCACTTTTCATCCTATCGACTTCGTAAACAACAGTAGTGCCACGAGAAGGTAGTGAGTAGGATTTCCATGGCAGTGGCTGTATATGCGTGGCCATGTGAGAGTGTCTGAAGAAGGAGAGCTAACTCTCCCCACCCTCCGTGGTATCAGGGGATTTGGAAGTTATATTCAAACAATTAAGTTCGAACCTTATATTTAGATTTTCGAATTCTCATCAGATAATTTATCGGAAGATGATTGTTATTCTTATTCTATAAAAAGCGTAGAACGTGTTTAAACGAACCATATCGAATTCCGAAACATTGTAAAAACGTCTCAAGATTATTTTAAATTCATAGGTTTCAGTTAACTTATAATTACTCCTTTCGCAATGTCAGAATATTATGATGATTTGAGGGTTTTGTAGTATTTCATTTGTGGGTGACCATTATCTCGGATTGAAAGAAACTGTGATAACATATCAATTAAGTCTGAGCAGCTGTTCTAATATGCATCTCCTTAGTAGTATGAACCTATGACACTGCCAGGATTTAAATTGAAAATCTCAAGGTATCATATCAAGCTTTTAACCCTAAGACTACTGGGTTAGCACACAAAAATTTATATTCTTCTGTTCAATAAATTGGCCATAATGCACATTGTTCATTCAATGGTAGCAGACCATTATCATCATTATGATTTGTTTGGTAATCAAGATTTGTGGTTCCATGCTTCTTCGGAAATAAATAACTTAAAAACAACTTTGGGATAACTAAACAATCAACATTTTTATATTTGCTGATGTGAAGAAGAGGAAAGTGTCATCTCTTCCTTCTAATTTTCACACAGAAACGAAATAATATCGTCAGTTATTTAGGACCTACTAACAGATTAATACACAAACATTCATCTTCAAGGTAATTCACACACGAGAAGTATATTTGCATAACGTACGTTTTAACCATTATACGAAGTTAAAAATATACAACAGTTTTTATTAGATTTTTATAATAATTACTCATAATAACAATAATAATGACAATAAAACAATTACATCAATAACTTTAATCATGGTAATAAAAATGCTGATTTATTTCAATAAGAAGCTGTAAAGAAGACAAGTAAAGTACAATAGAAAATATAAATTTAAAAAGTGGCAAGAATATAACGCAAATCAATCATTTATAATAGACATTGAATCAAATAAACACATTCAAAGAACATTTCATTATGTGAAATGACAACATACACAAGATGTAAAATAATAACAAAACAAATGGTTATCAATATCAGTATTAAAGGTTCAAATAAACGTGTGTATTCGAATAGTATAATCATCAAATATGTTAAATTATTTAATAATAACGTATGTAATATTAAACAGTATATATATATATATATATATATATATATATATATATATATATCTTCAATGGATAGCAAATAATCAGTAATAGTTATCAAGATGATTCGAGAATGATAACGTTAAATAATTTGAATTACACAATAGTTTGTCAATATAAATTTAATTTCCTTTTCAGTTGTTTGAATATACCATTATTTATGCAAAAACCAAAGATGACATGACATGTACACACATGCATACACACACAAATCAAAATAGACAATAAAGAAAAATAGAACGTAAACAAGCTAATAAATACCAAATTATTCATTCTCATAAATATGTTGTGTTGTTATTATGTCCTTCTTCGAAAGAGAAGGTAGTTGCAAAATGGTCTAACTCAATTGAATTTGAAAAAAAAGTTATACGAAACAAACATTTTCTAAAGACTGTGCGTAAAGACTGAAAAAAAAAGATAAACAATTAAAAAATAAACACTAGAATAAACAGTAAACAACTATATTCCTTAAGTTGTTATGTCGTAAAATCAAAAAGAAATTGGAAAACATAAAGCTATATATATATATATATATATATATATATAAGTGATAATTTTCATATTACCTTATTACAGAATTTCTATGGAATAGTCGTTTTTTAAAAAAAAGAGACTAGAGAATTAAAACAAAATAACACTAATGACCTTGAGTAAATTTAAACAAACATGTATTACATAATCGTGACTAGTAAACCTAACCTTCATCAGATTTTTTTTAAATTTGCTGATTGTAATTTTAAAGTAATATTATTAATTAAAACAATAATAATAATAATATACCTAAACAGTTTACCCTGATATAAGAAATTATTTATGTAAAACTTCAATAAAATAATAAACACTTTCGAATATAAATAATACAGAAAGTGGTAGAATATTTCAGTTCATAATTGAATCCAATTTGTTCTAGTTAAGCAGTTTTGTTTAATTGAATGACCCCATCTAATAATGTCAGTAAGAGCTATAAAATGTGTATAAAACCAATAATAATAACAACACCAACAAAAAGACTTCATTAAAAGATTCACCTAAATTAATACCAGCAATAATGATTACACATCAGTTTAGTTGTAGTTATTTAGCAAATGCAAACCTTCTAAGTAATATAAGTATTTGGAAATTTATAACCATAATTACTACTTTCTTTCTGAAGATAGATCGGCCAAAAAAAGTGATGAAAACTTATGTGTGTATGTGTTTGTTATTTTGTACGTATAAATGGTGTATTCAAATTTGTATTGGAAAGATAAATTAATAAATACGTGCACAATTTCGCATAGATTTATGTATTGATGATTAAACAAATACAAATGATGCAACACCTCGACCACATGTACATGATCTTTGCGGTATACTAACCATACGGAATCTACCTTGGCAATCAGAAGTACGTAGTGCACGCCATCTAGTCTCAACATTTGGTAATCCAGATCCAGTGCATCTGTAACCCAAATCTTCCCTCATATATGTTGGATAACATGTCACACAGATTTGTTGACCTGGTGTAAGTAACGCTGAATGAGTAATCCATGATTCAGAATTCGAATAATTGTCTTCCCAATTTTTGTTCAGACCAGTATTTCCAACTGTACTGTATTGTCTTTTGTGGAGAAATGATTTACGGCTAAAAGTGATTGATTGACCATTATAATCATTGTGTCGTTTATAACGATTAGGATAATAATAAGAAGGATACAGATCGCGTGACTGTGAAAATTGCCATAACAAATTTTGTGATTGACAAGCCTGATTTGAATACGTAATCTCATATACTGCACAGTACCTGAAAATCATAAGAAAATGATTGTCATTAAATGAAAACATCAAAACAATATTCATTTTGAGCTGATATTTAAGTTCATTAATTTAAATTTCACAGAACAACTGTTACAATAAAAATATCTGTATAACGCTTCTGTTTAGAAGTATCGTAATGATAAATTATTTATATAGTCAAATTATTATTGAACTCATTGTATAATCACCTATACTTTTAAATAGGGTATATAACTTAACTAGGAACTATGAAATCAGTATCACTACATATTTTTATTGTGCTTTGCATATACCTTTCATAAATAAACATATTTTCTACAACTCTCTAGTAATAATGGCACATTAAATCCATGTAATTTCAATGGTCAACGTTTTCGGAAAAATCGGATTCGAGTAGAACGTTAAAGCTCTATTGTTTTAGTAAACATCAGTGGACTTACGGAATTGCATTGTTAGTGAAGCTTTTATAGTACTGGATGTTAAACTAGGCGTGATACGGTAATCTTATCAAAAGTATTCTAATTGACGTGTGATACATAATATACCTATGAAATCTAAAGTATATCGTTCTTTATACGATATTTTTAATTGTAACATATGGTTAAATGCAATAAATTGATAACACTGTTCAAACTGAAGTTAAATTCTGTGTTTTAAATAACAAAAAACGCATTCCTTACAAATTGATGATCTTGAATCCGGTAATATAAAAGTAATAACCATACCATCACAAAGTTTCAGTGGATATCGAACTAACTGTTCAGTGTTAACTAGTTTATTTTAATATACCTGAATGTTAAGAAACAATAATAATGGGAATAATGGCATCATATCATTCTTGTATTCTGTTTTATAACCTTCAAAAGATTTATTTATATGTATATGTATATGTATATGTATTAGTCATAGAAATTATCTGTCTATAAACTGATATAATGATTATTCTTAGAATAAAATAAGAATGTTTCATTACTTATTATCATCACCCATCAACATATCTTATCCTGATATCTTTAAATATCATTGACGTTATTTTCTTCGATTAGTAATTTATGATTATGACCTGTCTAATTGTTGACATTTCGCCCCTTACATAACAAAATATTAATTATCTTGTTGTCATTGAAGTTTAATAATAGAATGCTCTTCATTAAAATGTTTAAATAAATCAGTTATGGCAATTATTATTATGGACAGATTATTAGTAGTTAGACATTGCATGCGTGTTTCAAAGTCAAAAGAATTTCATGTCAAATAGAGTGACCTAGTGGAACATCTAAATTAGTAAAACTATTTAATTACTGATCAAATAATTAAGTAAAAAGAAAAAGTCAAGGGGATCCCTCTACCTACATATCATCATCGGATTAGTGGTATTTCATAATACAGATGTTCAGACATTTTACGGTATATATGATATATATAAACTGACGACATTCATTTGAGGATTCGATTTTCGATTAATATGTCCTAGGTTTGAACTCGTTCCATCTAGTTCAGCTTTGAAGAGTCAGATTGTATTATTTATTTTTGCATTATTATTTAACTTTAGATCTAATCTACAGATATGTAAGTGATCACTGATTCACATCGACCAACTTTTTAAAAATATTTTACCGTTTATTTCATTGTTTGAACATGACACATTGAGAATATTAGGAGCTCTAATTGAAACATAGTTTATGAAGCCCTAAAGTGGCTGTCAAATTGGCCAACAGAAAGACTGCATATAGTCTGTGAAAAAAGCTTTTGAAAAGAGTTATGAAAGTATTTTTGCCCGACTCTAGAATAATTTTAATCATTGTTGAATAATAAGTACTCATTTAAACATTCTGAGGAGGACCGAAAAGTGAGTATAATAGAATGTACTCTATTATCTTCTTTACTTATTATTAAATAAAATACTATTAGAGCAACATAAATACTCGTCGAATCAAATGCAATAATCAAGAGATTTCAATTAGTATTTGGTAACTTGAGGAGTCGTGATAACCATTTGTTGAATTATTATATTTTTTGAGCACTAAAAATTTTTGCATTGATGTCTAAAAGCATTAAAACAAATTCTCTAGCAATGTAAACTGCTATTTCAATGGAAGATCAGTGGGTTACAAGAAAAGAACATTTAAAATCTAAAGAATGTCATATTAATACTTACGGATCAGGTTCTGGCTGTTCAGTCTTATTCATTTTTATTAATCTACCAAGATAGAGTTTACGTCGAACATCAAAACGCATATCATAACGTCTAGTTAAATCCAATACATCTCCACGTACGGGTAGTAAATGCGCCACTTCAGCTGTTATAAAAAAAAGGTGTAGAGAAAACTAAAAATCAAATGTCATCCATTAATATAACGTATTAATGTATATCAATTTCAACGTAATTTATTAACCACAATCTTTGATTTATATAAAATACTAATTTGTTTCACAAAAATTAGGTAAAAGATAGATTTAGAGTGATTTTCAAGTGTAATAAACTTATGCTTCAAAAATGTTGGTGCATACTCATGGTTAAGACGCTAATTGTTTTAAGGCGATTGTTCGCAATTCAGTTACATGTTTACCAAGTAGGTATCTACACTGTAACGTAATATAACAACTTTAGATATAAGAGCTAAAAGTTCTAGGTTGAAACTTTTACTGAGTTATCAGACATCCCTGTCAAATATTGCCAATCGAATTCAATGAGTGAATTCTCGGTGAGGCTCCCGGTCAAAATAGTTCGACAATGCGTACACTGTATTGCGATGTCATGTAGTTAAGGCTAGTCAATAGGGGACTCTGGATGCAAATTTCGTACAATTCGGCAAGAATTACCTGTAATCTCTAGGGAACTGATGTTTTGTTTGTGATTTAAATTCACACCACTTAATTTTGCAGTCTTAAGCGTTTTCACTAATTTATTCGGTCCACAGCTGACATGTTGCGGATTAAAACACTTAAACATAATAAGTCACTTAATAGTGATGAATGGCATGTTAGTCTAGTCCAGATTCTAAACCTGAACTAAAACATCTATCTATAACTCGTTGATTTTCGATAATTTTCCAACTGATCACAGTATATGATAATAACTATAAGTTCATAAACTATTAGATCTCAATCAGACATTCCAGTTACTCATTGAAATTCCAATGTTAATTTCGATACTGATTACTACACATATAAGAATAAAAAATAACTGTTTCTAAGTGTTTCCCTTTTGAATTATTAAAAAAATCTCAATTTTTTAATGGATGAATACTTTATTGCTTATAGAATTATGAAAAAATCAATAAACAATAAAACACCAGTTTTATGTATTCACATATCAAATCAAACCTTGTTACATAACCTAGATCATTGTGTAAATTGTGTAAATTTTCTGATGATTCGTTTCATGATTTCTAGTCTTCAATGATATGAGCATTAAACAGACATCCACTAGTACATTGGGATGTTACGTTTTTGTGTATTTAAAAATACTTTAACCATTTAAACTTAGACAAAATGTTAGTTTTTTTTAACTTGTTTGTATAAATGAAAATTGTTCATTTTTTGTCATTCTTATCAAATAGTTGGCATCGTTACTCTAGTATGATGACATAGTAACTGTTATTTTTGAGTTTATGAGTTGGTTGGACAATTTTCTAACTGTAACTTTTAGTATTTCAGATCACATTTTTACTTGACTTCAATCAAATAAAAATAATAAAGACCGCAGTTAGTATACTATTTTTGTCTTTATCGGTAGTACATAAAATTAACACGATAAGTATAAATTGTTTTCAGCCTGGCAGTTAGACAACAGACTATCTGTAATTATCTAACTGATATCTGTCAAATGGTATATATATATATATATTGTCTGCTACTGTGTTATAATAATGACAGTAATTCCTAATATCAGGTTATTGTTAAATGATTGGACACATTTGAAGGTTTCTTTAAAATAACCATTTGATATTGACTATGGAAGTGGTATAAACCAGTGACGAGTGATCAACTAACACTCCTCGTTGTTAAGAAGGTCTAAAGATAAAATATATATTCATCATTCCCCAGATTTCAGCAGTCCATAATCTTACGCTACTAAGTAATAAAGAAAAACGGTCAAAATAATGTATCTCTCTAGTTACTAGTTGACATCCATATAAATCTAGCGGAAAAGTTTCGATTCATTTTATTTTCTTTCTGTGATTGAATAAAACAAACAAAGCAGCCTTGATGAAAACTAGATACTTAATAAAACTTTAAGTTGCAGAAAATACAAACCATTATTAGTGTTATCAAAATAATCTCTGAAATGAGTAACATGGAGAAATGTTTTATATTGTGTTCGTTATTAACTTGTATTCACTGCATTCATTATTAGTTTTAACAGTGTTTCTTTCAATAATCAAAGTCTTCAAAAATTCTTTAATAAGTGTCAATCATGTTATTTCGTCGCTATATGTATAGTTAGTACAACAGGTTTTAAAATATACTGAATAGTTTGTTATAATACTTTCAATAGTGTTTCCTTAAATTACCTTTCCCCTTTTTTTCTTCTATAAAATAATGTATACTAATCCAAAAGGAATATAATGATTTCTCCTCCTCATAAAGTCTTATAAAAGCTCGTGTTACAAGAATCTAAATAGATACTTTATATCTCTTTTATTCACTATGGGTTAATATATGATTCACAGATATTATTAATTAAAATCTAACCCCTAACAGACGTTGTTTTAGTTTTAAATAGTCGATTGGAACTTCAGATAACAATTTAAGATTAAATGATAATTAAAATCTAATTGAATAAAGCGAAACGAAATTTTTCAACCATCATGACAACTGATAAAACATATAAACATACTTGACCTTGACTTGTTTACTTATCACTGTAATTTTTTCCCTAAATTGCTTCTTGATAATTTTCAATTCCTTTTTTTTTTTGCTACTTTGAATTTTTATTGTCTAGCTTTAGCAAAATAAAAAAATATAAAACCTAGTGTACATGTTGACAACACTGAAAAATCGCCTCCTGAATTTTCTTTTACCTCATTATCACCATTTTACTTAATGATTCTAGTCTATAATAATGCCGTTCGCTGATTCATACAACAACAACAACAACAAATTAATTGAAAATCCAGCTGATCAGTATGTATTATGAGATTGTAAAAAGGAAACGCCTTGTTAATTGTTGATTATAATTATATATGTGTGAAAAACTACTGTTGGATTTCAAGGTATTATTGTTCAATAATGAATTATTCATCAGTCTAATTATTAACAGTTTGAAATGATATGTAAGCCTATGTGTGTGTGTGTGTGCTTATTTATGTGATAGGGTTGTTATGTATAAATATAGAGAAAATTTTCTTGAATATAAAATCTGTTTGTACACATGGTCAATTTATCAAATGACAAATAATAAATCTACTCATGAGTAGAGTAGGTAAATCAATGTAAAACTATAAAGAAATAGTCAAAACAAATGCACATGCTGATGATTCTGAATTAAATGAAAACTAAACTAAGCATACCAGCATTCTTCTTGCAAATTAACTTTATTTGTTCTTTTTACTTCCCTCTTCTTTTTGTTGTTGCTATTATTATTATTATTACAATTTTATTTCTTCGTATTTAGCTTGGAAATGTGTAAATAAAACCTGTTTTTTTTGGTGAATAGTTTTCTATTTCTGGTAATATATAAACGAATCATTTTGTATTATTGAATAAAGGTCAAAAATGATAAATAAGGTATTTCGGTAGTTTGATATGAGTCATTGTTTGACCTTGTGTACATACCAGGTTTCTAATTTTTTTATTAGCTTTTAAGAAGAGGAGTGTTTCACTTTTACCATATCAATAAACTGTCGTGTGAAAGACAATGAAAAGTAGGTATTGAATTAATTTTGTTTGATTAAAAAGAAAGTAACTAAGCAATTGACGGTTTATCATTTTGTTTACTTGGATCGAGTTAACCGATTACACATAAACATTACCTTATATTAGTAGAAGTGAATATCCTACTGTTATTATCAAAGAAATTACTTATTTGATTATAGGGAATTTATATATATATATATATATATATATATATATATATATATCAAAGTGTTAATCTACCTTTTATATCATAAACATAAGGTACCATCAGCGTTCCAGATCTTCCAAATCTTTTCGATGCACAATTATGTCCAATACATGGTCTTGTTTCATTCAACTCTGGACATGGCTTACCATTGCTACTTGGTTTAATTTGAATTTGTCTGTAACGTGTACTAACACTTTGACCACATGTATATTCACAACTTGTCCAAGGTCCCCATTCACTGACTGTACAATCCACTTCTGTAATCAAATAAAATACAAGGTGATGTCTTAGGTATTAAATATATCAAATTTAATTATATCAGATGTAACTAGAGTTGCGAATTAAATTTATTACTATCAGAATATAAAAGCGGAATAGTTATATTCCACTAAATTGTAATAATGTAGTTCTAAATAGCAAATGTCTAAACGTTTTTGACAGTTTCTTTATTGAACAATACAAAACATCCCTAGAGGATAATTTAAGCATAACTAATGGGACGACTGAACTCCCTGAAAAGTGTACACAACGATAGAAATATCAATTCGGTAGCCTTTATTTAAATACTTTGCAAAATAAAACTTGAAACCAAATGAAGTGTGTACGGCATTCAAATTTTTTATCTTTACTGGTCTTTATGGATAAATTGTTATAGAAAGCAACTTAAAAATAAGCAGACTGTTAATTACAATTTAAGTATTTCTAACAACGACTACAGAATATGAAACAAAATTATTGTAAACAAGAATATTTAAAAATTCATCTTTAATTTAAAATAATTCTTAGTTTTTGGTACTTTTAATCACCATGAAGAAAGATAATCAGGCCCATTACAGTTAAATTACAATTTATTATAATATATATTTCAGTGGTTGCGACCATGAGTAAATTGAAGCTAGATGACAATGGAAAACATGGAAATACTGAACGGCCAGTTCGTCCTATTGTAGAATTCCTTTTCAGTACGCGTCCACGATCCCAACTCACGAGATTCAAACACACGATCTATCAGTGTCGCACGCGAGTGCTTAACCACTAGACCACTGGGCCAACCAGCAACCCGTGGTGTTAATGTCTAACTTGAAACAATCCACGAAATCGCGCGACACATCCAGCATTATGTTCAGTGAGTTACTATCTCACAAAAGACCTGGTTGAACTCCACTGGTGACTGCTTCTTACTTGAACTCCATGAAATACCTCTTGAAGCCAGTCACTAGCTTCAGTTGACTCACGATCATAACTATTGGAATTACTATAATATTCACAAAAACCCTTCTCATATACTTTATATGTCAAAATAACATTCTGACAGCTCATAGTGTATTCCATTCCATATGTACATAAATCCCTGACGAGAAATATTAGCTTCAATATATGAATATGGGAGAGTATCATTGTCAAATGAATATTTATATAGATTTTCAAACCGTAATTTTATTTAAAATGTTTACAATGGGAACACTCGATATCACTATGGAAAAATATTATCGATAATTTAAGATAAACCTAATGGTATCTCATTCAGTTTTTGAACTCTGACTAATTTTTCGCCAAAAACGAGTAATAATTATTGAATGTGTTATAAGTACAAGTTATCCGTTATAGTGTACATTTTAAAACTACTATATTACTATTTAGTAGTATAAACTAAATCATAATTGATTATTTAACAGATATACGATTTAAATCATTTCAAAATGTATATATTTATTGTGGTATAGTTAAAACGTTTAAACGAAACTACTGATTAGCTTGCATTTTAACAAAAGACATAAACAAATATTCCGTTTGATATCAATAATTTATTCTATTAAAACATTAGACGGTACAAAGTACTCTCATTATATATATCGATTGGATCATACATTTAACAGTCGCAGTAAATGGAATTAGAAATGAATTTTATTGTCAGAAACGTATATCTAAGTTGTTAGGAATAATTTGTTGATAAAAACAAACTTTTGTTTGGATGCTTGAAATATGGAAGCATAATTATTCTTTACTAATTTGCACAAAATGGGCAACATAATCATTGATAATTTGTATTGTTTTCAGAGTGAGAAAATCGATAGTAACAATAATAATACTATAGTGAGATTTTGTTATGACTGTATAGTAGATTCGGTAAAAGGTGCGAATAACTAATGCAATCAAACGGGTAATTTGGTTCATAATTTCTTTAAACTATTTAAGATAATGGGGATGATCAAACATTTTAGATACAACTCGAACGTTTGACATTATCTATGAAGTATGTAGCTCAGAATTAAAACTTGGCAGTTTAAATCACTGATTTTTCAGCCACTGAGTTGTAAACTCCTAACCCTTTACACCTATAGTGCTTTATAGTAATGGGTAGTATCATTCGATTTAGGACACAACATGAAGTTTAAATAGACTGAACAAAGTTGTAATCGATTAATGGATGATATTTAACATTTCACCATATTTATTCTTTAACTCCCTAATAATTTAACACCAACGACAGAATCCGTTAATATATTTTGTGTGATTAGAATTGTTTCTAGATTATAGAGCAGTTTCACACAACCCTTAAAATATCTATGTACAAAGTCTCTCAAAGGTACACGAAATGGTTTTATGTGGCGGTGATCTTCATAGTCATATAATATACCCTTGTGGGCCAGAGTAATTTTACATTGGTTTTCAGTAGAATCAGACACCATCCAGACTCTCACGTGACAACCCAAACAGTACAGTTTAATCCCGCTTAACAGAAGAGCCAGAAACCTCTCAGGCTGAAATTTTATAAACCGAGCAGTATAACTCAATCCCACTAGACATCGTATAGGCTTTAACGCTACAATCTGAATATTACGGCTAGATTCTGTGGCGCAAACCACACAAGTACCAAGCACTCTAATGTCAGTAATCTTTTTAATCGCATCTTGATTTATTTAGGCATATTATAAAGATTTTCTACTATTTTGTGGATCATTAATTATTTGATTGAATAAAAGGTTTAAATAAACAAATCCAAATGAAATCATTGTTTATTGTTTAACACTTACAAAACACTTTCCATTTAAATGAATTGACATTCACTTCCCCACTATATCATCTATACTTTATAATGGGATATTAGACTATTTCTCATTACATTTACGCTATTTAAAACCTGTTAAATATTACATATAAAACATATGATAATTAATCAGAAGGGGTTCTGTGGAGATTGTAGTAATTTCAACAGTTGAGATGACAATGGTGGATGTGTCGCTCAATTTCGTGGATTAGCTGAAATTAGATATTAACACCGTTGGATGCTGGCTTAGTAGTTTAGCGGTTAAGCGTTCATGCGTGAGACTGATAGGTCCTGGGCTCGAATCCCGCAAGGCGGGATCGTGGATGCGTACTGCTGAGGAGTCCCACAATAGAACGAAACGACCGTTCAGTGTTTCCAGGTTTTCCATGGTGGTCTAGGTTCAATTGACTCATGATCTCAACTGTTGAAATTAATATTACATTTTAAAGTTTGCATAAATAAACTGGAAGTTGTTATCTAGTTCTTCATGATTTTGACAGTATAATGTAAATACTTACATTAATTATTTTATAAACATATTATAACCACAAAAAAACTACTTTAGTCATTTGGTCATAATGAAATCATAATGTACTCATTTTCCTCCCTACTATTCTATTTAATCATTAATTTGCAACTAAAATAAAGTAGAATACATTCAAAGTGACTTATAATAAGGACAATATTTCTATTTAACAAAATAGTCATTTTTTTCATTTCACTATATTTATTAACTTTTCTTAGTACACTTCAATTCTAAGTATTCACTAGGAATGTTTGAAGAAGAAGAAAAAGTTAACCACTTCATTACATAGTTTCTGAAATTACAATATCAATAATGTCTAGAAGATATCGATTACATCCATAAATAAGAAATAAAATGTCCTAAAATAATATTTTATCTAAATTTGTTGCTTTTACCCATAACATATTATGTGATCAAAATTGCCCCATACATAGAAGTGATAATGGTATCTATATACTGACATTGGAAGAAATACAATAATTTTTTTTTACACTCAGACCTAAATTTAAACACGTGTCTTTTTATTTAACTATAATGAATAAATAAAAAAGATTATATCTGTGCTACTATGCATTTGTATCATTGTATATTGAACGTATACATAATTCAATGATAGCAACAACAACAACAAAAATGTAATCACTACGTTATTCTCATTCTATGATAACATCAGATTATTCAAATGTATAGCATAGTTATATTTAAATTACAGGTGTGTTCCATCTGTCGTCTTCTATCTATTTTGTTTTCCCGTTTTCATTTATACAATGACGAGATTTATACATGAATGACTTACAATAAGGTCAATGATAAAGGGTTATGAAATATCAGCTGATTTAATTTAGATATACTTTTTAATCTTTTACATAACTCGATACTTATCTTGTATTACTCTGTTTAATTTTTTGATTATCTGTTTTATAACTTACAAAAACCTATTACATTACAGGAAGTTTAAAGTGATATTTACCAGTTATTTGTATGTATTACTTTATTGTTACTAACGGAGATATAAAAACTTTTTTCTATCATGATAATGAATGACTTTGCTTTTCATTTCTAACCATCGACAATAATCAATGAGACATTTACCATCCTATATATCTCATAAATTTGATAATTTAACGTTAAAGGCGAGAAACCAGGAACAATGCAAAGAGAAAAGAAAAGTCTTTATGGTTACAGTCAATTTCATTTAGACATGTGTTCAATTGCTAAGTTGTTATTTGATATGTATTTTTTAAGGTATTGTGACAGTGATTATGGACTATTTGATACTCTCCTGACTGATCAGGAAAAAAAAAGGTCATTAGACTAAACGAGTGTTGTTGATAAGGAAGAAAATAAAATATTATAGAAATGAAGAATAGGAAAAGACGATTATGTTACATAAAAAAACTGAAGTTATAAATTATTTCGTCAATGTTTCAATGAAAGTGAAAGCTGAGAAATGTAAACATTTCTTATCTTATTACTTATGATAAATAAATTCCATAAAAATTAGTGAATGAAAAACTCTATAAAATATAAATCTCTATAAAAACAATGAAATTTAAATTGTTGAAACTTAGAGCAAAAAATATTTAGATTTGTTTCACATCGAAGAACTTGAAATGAGTTTGGATTCTTCAGGGATTATCAGCTTTCTCAACATTACATGTATACCATGCTAATAAGCGTCA